AATCGACATCAATATAATTATAGTCGGCAATGTGTAGATTTTTCGGTGCGGTGCTCCGTTCGTAGCGAAAGGGTTAATTTTTTTTATTTAATTAAATTCTAACTTTAATGCACAAATCTGGAAAAATGATGACACAATGTTTGAATTAGACACTGCTGGTTCCGAAGCCGATCACTCGGCTCAGCTTGCCGGAGATTGTGTCTATGGAGGCTCTCATCACGTGCCAGCATCCCTCGTCCGATTTGTACAGCTTCCATGGGAAAATCGAGATTAAGAATACGATTCAACATGGAGTCAGTGGACACTTAACGACCCATAATTTATTGCTCCGTGGGTCCAGATTGAAAGACACTGACTACATCGTCGGCTGCGCGGTTTACACCGGCCACGACAGCAAATTGTCTCTCAATTCGAAGATCAGAAGCACGAAATTCTCCACAGTCGAGAAGTAAATTAAAATCAAATTTACCATCAATTTTCATAATAATTAAACTGCGGATTTTATGCGTTTTTGAAAAAATCGTGCAAAAAATAGAAATATCAAAATTAAATACAAATTGCAATACTTAAATAATAAAATAAATATCTATAGAAAGTGAATTTTTTTTTTACTATCATATGTGCCATCGTTTGCATAAAAATCCGCAGTCTCGTAATAGTAAGAAAGTGTGCTGAATCGGATTTAATTGCAGGTCTATTAATAAACAGATTTTATTATTCATCACGATATTAACGTTCGAAGTGATATTCTCCTGCATTATGAAGAATGTGTTTCAATCGACGTACAAATTGCCATACCTCGGCCCTGAAGAGTCCATCAACGTAGGCTCGGTGATCTTAGACTTTCTCAACTTCACCGTTCTGTACAATTACACCGTGCCCATATCATTGTACGTTACCATAGGTAAAAGCATTTCTATACTAATGAATAAATTATCTTTACAATTAATAGACTGCAGATTTTCTACATAAAAGTGCAGTCTAATAATTAAGAGGACTTACCAGTGTGACTGCC